TCAAAATCAGCAGCTAACCCTCTAAACAGGAAGTGAGGTCACATCTCAATAACCACTAACATTTATAATCATCATACCCTCCTGAAGGTTTTGCATAACCATATGGTGATATGTAATGTCTTTTTTGAAAAAAATGTTTTTTGATTTATACTTTTGTTTGATTCGAAATCTGACAAAAAAAAAATCGATTGATCACATGTAGAGTATGATGGCTGTCAGTTCAACCAGCTGTTGGAAAACAGCTGTTAAAGCAACTAATCAACAATTTGGGGATGAATAAAGCTCTGTAGTACTTGGAGTAATATTTGCTAAAACTGTAACACTGTAGTTGCCAGAAGAGCAGGAAAAAAAATGCTTGTATTAAACATCCATGGGTAAAATCTAATAAAGTATTTAGTTTGACAGCAAGCAAAGAAGTTTGCTGGCATGTGTGGTACAAAATGAAGAAGCTCCTGTTTTATTCATTTTCATATCAATACAATGTATCTAAAAGTCTAACAGTATTAAAATTCTTCAACATGGGTCAATGCAAATCATATTCTGGAGCTGTATAACTAAGGGTCAGTTCAGCTGAGGACTAACACACTCTTCACTCAGCCTGATGGTAAGTTGGTTTCTGTCTGTATTAGGATGGTGACATGTTTGGTGTAGCACAGAATAACCTGTGAACTCAAGTCATGCTGTGATACTGCATTATGTTATTACATGTAAAGACACTGCAGCCTGTAATAGTGAGCTAATTCTTTTTTCTCCTAAAGGGAAGATGATGTATTAAAATGACTTTTTTTTATTATTCTGTTTTTTCAGGACGTCCTTTGGATGATTGTCCTCACTGTTGGTTTGCTTGGCTCACATTGTGAGGGCGCTATATCCTGTAAAAATGAAAATGGTTTTGATGTAGACTGGTAAGACAACATTTGAGCTATTCATTCAGGTGTACTGAATTACACATTAGTGACTTTGGTCTTCAAGTGCTTCAAAGCTGCGCTATGGTACCTTTTGCACCTGCGTTTCAACATAGTCATAGATGATGTTCAGACACTGTAACACTATTTTACACTGTTATTATCAGTTATTTTATATATTTCCATGTCATAAATAACGTCATTTCCAAGAATGGGAAGTTAAAACAAGGACATTAGACATACCTAATGCATTAAAACACTGAAGACAACACACAATACTCTGACACTTGCCTCCTTTCTCCAGCCCTGCAGATCTATTTTTAACACTCATCTTATTCTCACTTTATTGCACAGGAGGAAACAGGAAAAGAAAACACTTTGCAAAGTTTCACAAGCTTCATCACAATTTAGCATCATGAGGAAGCCAGTGGAAAATACTATTCATAAAAGGCTCTGTTATTCATAGTTAAAGGGTTTCAGTCATATCTCTGCTTACTCTACAGGTGCTTGTGAGACTCGGGTATAACAGAGTTTGTTATTTTCTTCTTCCATGCTCGGTTACGCTTCTCATCATTTTTTCTGATTTTTGAATTTACTGACTTGTCTCTGACATCACCAGGTTTATTTTGTACAAGGTGAGTCGCGGGTTTGATTATGTTTACATTGATTCAACCGACCAGAACCTTAAAAAGAATAACAAGGACAAGCCTGTCAACCACCAAGCTGGTGTCCTGGCAAATACCCTGAATCCCTACTTTGAAAAAGTGAGAATAACTCCATGAGTTTCTGTTATTAGTGTGTATGCCCTTTGAGGAAAGACATAATTTATGTTATGTTTTTGTGGATTCTTTCATGATAAGCAGTCACCAGATTTTGGATTCATTGCATACAATGACCAACCACCACCACCACCACCACCACCACAAAAAACTGTAGCTTCCACCTATGGCCACAGCAAAGGTGGGTAGAAATAATTTTTTAATAATAATAAAAATAACATAATAAATACTAATAAAAACACACCTGATTTAAATGTGCTCTCCTTCACGCTCACCTTTGAGCATCAGAACCACAGCTGCTGTTATTCTCAGATCACTCAGCAGATGTTCTCTTCTTAATAATTACATGTGCTCTCTCATGTTCTTGTTCTGCAGGAGTTGTGATGATAGATAAGGAAAATGTAGTCTGGCTTTTACACAGCACACCAAGATTCCCCGGAGATGAAAGCAATAATTTCTATCCTAAAAGTGGGGAAAAGAACGCACAGATATTTATGTGTGTAACACTGAAATCTACAGAGTCTGCACAAATAGGTAAGAGCATGTCCAGGTTATTTCTTCATGTCTAGAGTATATATGAAGTC